GCAGTTTAGATAGAGAAGCAGAATGCACAGTGAACACATTGATGTGTGAAGATTTGAACAGAGGCTTGAATTAAATGAGAAATATGCTATTGCTGGCATCAGGTGCAAGGAAGTCTTAGGCAGGGGCTGGGGATTTAGCTCAGCAGCACAGCGCCTGCCTGGTAAGTGCAAGGTCGTGAGTTCGATTCCCGGTACCAGAAAAAAGACAAAAAAAAAAAAAAAAAAAAAAGTTTTAGGTAAAGGAGCATCAAATTGATTGAACTTGAAGTAAGAACTTCCTTAGCTAGCTTGAGAAGAAGCAAGGAGACCCTTGTAACTGCAAGTCATCCTTGGAGAAGTGTAACAGAAGATGAAGTAAAAGGAACAGGTAATCAGATAACTGAGGGGTAGGAGAAGAAATCAGAATGATACCCAAGGATCTGCAAAGTGGAGTAAGGAGCAACATGGGTCTTTCCTTTGCTACCAAAGTATGGGTAGCTATTGAAGAGCTTTGCGCAGAAGTGATTTGATCAGATTTACATTTCAATGACTTTGCTTGCTGTTTGGAAAACAGACCATGAGGAGTCCAGAGTAGAGCAGGGACACCAGCGTGGGTGTGGTTGTGCTGGGATAGTCCAAGCCAGAACTGTCAGTAGCAGCAGAACTAATGAGAAATGATGGGGTTTTAAGTAGGTTTGAAGCTGTGATAAATGAGATCACTATAGAAGGTGTGAGGAAGAGAGATACTCTGTCTAGAATGACTCCAAAATGTACAGCCTGTGCAGTCAGAATGGAAACGATGTTTACTGAAAGTTCAGGGAGCAGTTTTGAGGAAGAGCAAATCAAGGAGGTAGTCAAGAATTTTCGAGAGTGTGGAATTTTGAGGTGCTCCTTAGGTCTTTCAGTGGAGAATCTGGAAGAGAGTTTTTGTGTGTGTCTGAGGTTCGAAGGAGAGGTTTCTACTGCAGGAATAATTTTGGGAAGCGATAACTGCTTGAGATCGAACGCCATGGGGACTGAATGCATAACCTTAAGGGTCGAATGCTGATAGAGAAATGTGAGTGCTTTGTGCAGTACTCCAGTATCTAGAAACAAGGACCAGAGGGAAGAGCCAGTGAAGAAGGATGAAAAGGAGTGGCCACTGAGGAGCAAGAAGAGCAAAAGCCATAGAAGAAAGAGTCTCTAGCAGAAAGGACGAATCACCTCTGTCAAAGCTGTTGATCATGATGGAGAGTTAGCCATTGCACTCAGCCATACGAAGTCACTGGCGATCTTAACAAGAGTAGTTATAATGGAAGGCACAGGAAGAAAGCCTGATGGAATGGGGTTCAAGAAACAATGGAGATGTAATCATTTTGTATTGCGAGCATGTACTAATAAAGTCAAAACTAGAAGAAAACCAATGGAAGGTGAAAGATTTATACGATCTCAGGAGAAACCAGAGTCACCCAGTGGAATGGAAAGGAAGTAGAGGCAGAAAATAAGGAAAATTATTTGTTGAAATTTTCTAATAAAGGGGAATAATAAATAGAAATTGATATGTGAGTCAAGAAATCAATATATGTGTGTATATATATATATATATATATATATATATATATGTTTTCTTTATCCTTTATTTTTATGTAGAGTGGTGGTCATAATATATAGTAAATTTTGAATTTCATTTTTACTCACTTGACCTTATATCATACAGTTTTCCATGCTACCACTGTCCATGTTTGCACTTCTCGATGATAACTGTATTCTGTTTTGTGTATTGTCCTACTTCTTGTAACCATTCTCTTTTGAGCATTGACAATGTCTCTTTCCATAAAAATCTCACTGGGCTACCTCTGACTTCCTCTCTTTTCCTCTCTCACCTTCTCATTTTCCTGTGATTGTACAAGGTAGAGAAGTATCAAGTGTAACAGCGCTTCACTCAGATGAGTTCTAGAATCCGTTATCTGAAGATCTCAAAGAGGTAGGATATATTGGATTAATGGGTCCCGGAATCTCTAGCACATTAGAATTACCTTGGGAACTTTGGATAGTGCTGATGCTGAGGATCCGTTGACACACACTCTCTGGAAAGGCCCAGCTGTTTTTTAAACACTTGCCAGGTCACTACGGTATGCAGCCAGATCTGAGAACCAGTGTGCTAAGACCACTGTGGCAGCACAAAATAAAGTTTCCATCTCCCCCTTTCCCACTTTTCCTTCCAAAGGTCTGCCTCTTTTAAGTTAGGTTTCCCATCCCACAGTGAGGCAGGCTAATCTTAACAGTCCTGCTGTACCCAAGCCTCAGGCTAGACTGGCCAGCAAGCCTCTGGAAGGTTGCAGATGCTGTGCTATGTGGCAAAGAGCCACTGACTGAGGAGATTGCTTCCCAGCTGGGTGAGTTGGTGGGGTGTTTGCTAGTTTCTGACTCCCTGGTTTTGCCTGCTATTTCCTGCTTCCTTGACCTTCCAGACATAGCTCCTGCACATCCTAGATGGAAATTATCAATTTTTTAAAATTTACTTTTACCTATTGCAGCATTTCCTACTTCACTTTAAAATAGTTGTGAGGATTTTGCTTTGGTTCTTTCCTTAGTATTGGCTGCTGTTATGATGTGTTTAGTTTCTATCATCTCTAGTAGATTTGCCTCTGTGAATTACTGCATGGTCCAGTGTCTGGCACCAATGGTAAAGAATGAATGTCTGCTGAATGAATTAAAGAATAATAAAACAAAAAGGTCTTGCTTTGTATACTTGGGTATAAATTAAAATTGGATGAGAGCTGCGTGTGGTGGTGAACGCCTGTAATCACAGCACTTGGGAATCTGAGGCTGGAGGATTGTTGCGAGTTTGAGGTCAGCCTGGGCTACAAAGTGAGTTCAAGACCAGCCTGAACTACATAGTGAGACCCTGTCTCAAAAAGACCAAAGGAAAAAAGAATAAAGTTGGATGACAAGCTGGGTGATAAAGTTGGATGATAAGAATGTTTTGGATTGTGAAGATAGATTTCTTTAGGATACCTTGGGAACAAGTAGCTTTGTATTGTGTTTTGTAATATTGTCATCATCCATCACTATCTGAAAACTCTTAGGGTTCGTCTGCATGGCAATTCTTCTCTTTCCTGTTGTTCCACAAAATGAGATGAGCTCCTTTTCCACACTGACTTCTCTGAGCAAAGTGAAGATGATCTACTACAGAGAAAGGCTACCAGTAGGGTAGAGAGGGAAGTCTTAGAAGCGTCCATCCTTTGCCCTAGTGGGTCATGATTCTCATCCATGGTGCTTTCCTTTTAGAGATGGCATCTCATCTCCACCATGGCCCTTGACATTTGCACATCTCATCACTTTGCCCTACGCTTGCAGGCATAATTTTTGCTGTTTTAGGACTGACAATGCCTGCTTTGGGTGGCAGGCACCCAGCTCACAGGCCACGATACAGCCTTTGGGTACTTGCCTGAAAATATTTGCAGCTGTGTGCTCTGAAAGGGAAATGTATTCTCCCCAAATCTGAAAAAAAATGCATTTATTTTAAAACATAGGTGATAATTGGTCTCTGCTCCCAAAAAGAATTATTTGATTTGTATTTCTGCTTCTCTGTGTTAAGCTTCAGGATCCACAGGGCTATTCTGTAGACCCTTCGGGGGTGATTTATAGTAAGAGTGGCTCACATATAAAATGGATTTCTAAATTGCTTGGTTATCCTATAAAACTTTTGATTGAGCTCCTCTTTATGATAGTTTACTCAGGGTGCTAAAACAAAATACCATAGACTCGGTGGCTTACACAGAATGCTTTATTTTGTTGTACTTGTGCTTCTGAAGGCTTAGAGGTACAAGGTCAAGGTGCAGGCAGATTCAGCTCCTGGTGGGGGCCTCTCCCAGGTTACAGCCAGCCACTTTCTTGCCCTGTGCTTATATGGCTTTTTCTGGGCACGTGCACATGGAGAGAGGGAGATTTCCCCTATGCCATGAAAGATCCACCTTCATGACCCTCTTACTTCCCAAAGTCCCTAGCTGCTAACTCTACCACGTTGGGAGCTAGGTTTCAACACGTGAACTTTGAGGGAGCCACGGTTCAGTCCATAGCATGCTCCGTAAAAAGTAGCTACAAGTTCATATATTTCTGATGCATGAGTTAAAAACAAGAAAAACACTACTGTAAGATCTGTAGACTTGGTTTTATTCCTTCATGGTTAGTCTAAGACAATACTTTACCTAATATCTCACATGCCTTTTTAAGCAAATAAACAAGATAGGCCATCAATGACGTAAATCCCTCCTTTCCAAGGCAGTATACCTTAAGAAGGAAGGTGGAATTCCCTTCATCGTATTTTAAAGAACAAGTGTTTACTGCCTTTCTACAGCCACATGCTATTAGGCAGTAGAATTGTTGCTCATGGCATCATGCTTCATAGCAGCTCTCTTCACCATTAGCATTGGATATTTTTAGAAGCAATAAAGTTATTCAGTTAGAAAAATTTCTAATAATTGACTGTAAGGCTATTTAAACTTAATGAATGTTTGAATTAGTAGACGTTTATTTTGCTTTGAATACTCGGGGTTTAAGTTTTAAGAAGCTTCTGTCCTTAGAAATATGATTTGCTAATTGTTGATAAAAATAAATACTTTTCAAACAGTCTTACTTAAAATACTTTTACTCTGCCATCTTCCTTTTTAGCTAATTTGCCAAGTGAAGGCAAATTTTAATAGAATTTTTCACAGTTTTTATGGAGTTTGCAGAGTTGGGACTGGATGAATAAGGTTTTACATGGAACTATTTATATGGTTTGTTTCCCTCATTTGTTAAACATATGTTTTAATATTGACTGCACCCATGGATAAAGCAGCATAGACTTCATGTCTATTTTAGTTATAGCTCAAAGTTTTCCAAACATTTCTTTCCATTTGGAGAATTCAGTAGGATCAAGTCCAGTGGTACCTTGAGGGGTTCAGTAAAAAGTGTTTGAACTCCTTGGGGTCACTACCTGTCTTGCACCCCCTTATCCCTGAAGAGAGCACTGAAGTGGGTGGGTCTTTTCCTTGCAGGAGAATGCTGTGAATGGGGAGCACCTGTGGCTGGAGACCAACGTCTCGGGCGACCTCTGCTACCTGGGCGAGGAGAACTGCCAAGTCCGATTTGCAGTGAGTGTGGCCTCAGGCTCCCTCTCTGTCTTTCTGGGGGGGCAGCCTCCCTCTGAGGCCAGAGGGGTCACATGCCTGAATTTCCCAAGAGGGGTGTGAAAGAGCCTGTCCTTATGGGATGGAAAACTTCCTGGATGCTCTCAAGGTATACAGAGGGTTTATGTAATGAGTGTAATGAAGCAAACATGGCTTCCATGTTGTGGAGTTTAGTGGACTCAGGACTCAGGACTGATGTGCTGCTTTGAGATGATGCCCAGGGCTGGTTTGGAGTTGAGGAGAGGGTGAATATGAACGAGAGAGCATCACTGGTGGGGGGTAGGGGGCTTCAAGTCCTTGTGGAGGAATGAGCAGTGGTCCTGCGGTGTTGCAACTGGTGAGTAAAGTGAAAAGAACTCTCTTGGGGTCAGTGTAGCTTAGCAGATAATCCAGACTATGCTCTGGAGGATATAGACATAATCAGTCAAAAGTCATGTGAGTTAGAGTATCCTTTACTCATTAACATTCACTTTGTGCTCTAATTTAGAACAATCTGTTGAAAGTTTAAAATTCTTTACAGGTTGTATAAAGAAAACCTGGTGGCTATTCAGTAAATGATATAGGAAGTACACCTATAGTGTGGAGTCAATGAGCTTCTCAGTTTTGCTTGGTTTAAAAGGACTGCTCTAAAAACAAAGTGTAATGAGGGAACTTAGAATAGTAAACAATAAAGAAAAATGTATTTGGGGAAATGGGCATCATGATTTACATTATAGTACTTTAAAAATTTTCTTGGTATGTTTATTATGTATAAGGAAAATTTGGACCAAAGTATTAGACACTGAAATTGCAAGTAACTATGTTTTTGTTAATAATGAATAAATAGTAAATTGAGTTTTGTTAAAGCTTAGAGAAGAATATATATAGTCCCTAAGAACTTTTATCTGGCTACCTGAAAAGGCAAAGACCCAGAACTGAAATATTTTATATAGCTTTACCAGTTTTGACCCCTGGATATAGGTTTAGTGTCTAAATATAGATTTTGTTTGGGAAAACATCAAGGTGTTTTGGAGACCAGGGTTTGAGTGAAGTCAGAGTAGTGAAAACTCAGGGAAGGACCCGGATGAAGGGCTACGGATTTGGAGTTACTTAAATTGGATTTGAACTTCAATGTCGCTACTGTGTGACGCTGAGAATTTGTGACCTTTGGTCCTTCGGCATCTTCTAGATAAAAAACAGAGTCCAATTAAATTAGTTTTAGTTTTGCTTCTCCACTCAGGTCTGTAATTAATCATTTACATGTCTTCTGATTTTGTAAATTCGGTTCATTTAGATATCAGTATTTCAACTTTATACATATGTGTTTTTAATTAGAGTATAATTGCATGGAATTTGATTGAATTAACCACATCCACGAGAAAGTCAATTGTTTGGACTAAGATGCTATAAATAACGAATCAACATTATGTCTTAGTTAATTGGATAAACACCGGCCTTGAGATATCAGATAATGTGAAATGGAACAAAATGAAAGGCAGTCTACCTGTGTATATACCTTATACTCATCCTGCTGCTAACTTCTTACAGCGTTCGGCTCTGTCTACAAATTGGCCCCTCTAGTCATTTTCTGATAGTCTTTTGGGATAGCCACATGTCACTTCTCCTAACGAATATATGAATAGCTACACATATCCTCCTTATATCCCGCGCCGCTAACTGGCCCTGCTATCCACTGATTGTTATTTGGTCACTGTACCTGGAAGCCAGGAGTTAACAACAGAGAAAGTAAAGTGCATTTTAGGCAGGAGTATTAGGAGACTAGAGTATGGAAATTTTATATCCTGGGGCCTTCGTCCTAATTTCCCCCCATCTCCTAGGCCCTGCTGACTCAGTTTATAAAACATCTGGAACATGAAGAGCTTTGCTCCAAAAGATGTTGATTAATCAAGAGAGTACGTCAGTGAGGAAGAGGAATACCTCCTCCTGTTTCTTCATTATTATAAGCTGCTTAAGGCTCAGTCTGTTCCTCGGTCAGATGGGAAAATACTGTCTGAGGATTCCATGAGGTAATGACTGGAAAGGGCTATCTTGGCCCAGTAACAGGTATAATAAGTTAAAAGAAATAACTAGGAATGGATGGGAATGGACAGGTTACAGAAGGTCTACCAGTTGCCAATCAAGAGATGGAGACAGAAGCAGAGCCTGCCAAACGAAAACAACTCTGAGAAGTCAACACCAAGTGTGATTTTTTTAAAAAAATTTTTTGGTTTTGTTTTTTTTCCAGTACCGGGAATCAAACTCCCGACCTCATGCTTGCCAGGCAGGCGCTGTGCTGCTGAGCTAAATCCCCAGCCTTCACCTGTGATTTAAATATCAGACCTTTATGAAATGGTCATACTTCCTGCCAGCTAGTTTAGGCTGACACAGGTAGTCTCCTGATCAGCTGGCAAGAGAGCCAGTTTATGTGCCTGATCAAATCGGCAGCGTGTGGTAAAGGCTTTGGAAATCCGCCAGCCCTCTCTCCCTTCCTTGTACCATGTGTTCCCGCTTGGGTGTCGTGTTTTAGAAGAGACACTGACAAGCCTCAGAGGACCCACAGGAACATGCCCAAAGTGCCTTGGGATGTGGAGCCTTGTTGTGAAGAAAAATTCAATCACAGGGGCTATAGCTCCTTCTAAAGGAGTGAAAGTAGAGTGAGGTCTTCCAGTATTGGAAGAGCTGCTGTAAAGAAGAGAGAGCTGACTTTCTGCCTGTTTTTAGGTAGATGGAACCAAGTCACAGGCCTAGAAGTCATTGACGGTAGTGGTGGATCTCACTGTGTGCTGCAGATAACCATCACCCAAGACACTGAACAATGCAAATTACTGTTTCTGTCCTTGCTCCAAATGCTGACTTAGTCACATACACAGTTAGACTTGAAAATCTGTGATTTTTAACAAGCATATAAAATATTCTGGTGCAGTTGGCCCACAAACCTAACTTTGAGAGATACTGTAGTATAAATACCTTAACACAGAGCTGCCCAATGAGGGAACAAAATCCCTGGAGAGATGGGCTTGAAGGGTGTGCTCGTGGATGACTTGGATGGCCATATTCCAAGGATGCTGGTGAGGAAGATGTGTATCTGCTTTGGGCAAGAGTTCGATCAATGTCCATTTCCTCACTGCCCATGCTGCCAGGCCCCGCCTGTCCAGGCTTCATTTGGTGCATGTGTCTACACATGCGTGTAGGAATGTCTCTGCCACATGTAAAATCAGCTGCATAATGTGGGTTATTTCTGTAGGGCTGAGTTCCTCTGGGTGCACATACTTGGCTGAAGATCTCTGTGTACCCCATCATCACAGCATGGATTCCATCAGAGAGCCCACTTCACAGGGCGTTTGTCAAAGTTAACTAGCTGTCAGTCTCAACACTCTCTGAAGCTCGCTGGTGCTGCGTCCTCAGCCCACACACCCTAAGAAAGTCAGAATGTTACATCTGAAGCAATGTATAGCAAAATAAATGTCCCTAAACAAGAGTGGCCCTCACTGGGGTTTCATTTCAGGGCTTTCTGTATGTAATCAGGTTGGGAAACTTATCTTTCTACTCCAGTTTCTTTATTTTTTCCATCATTTCTCCTTTCCAGACTAACTTGAGAAGTATTCCTGATTAGAGAATAAATTTAATCCCACTAACTATCTGCTCACAGATGTTCTACGGTATTTAATGTTGCTGCCGGAGACCTGAAGAAGAAGAAGGGGTTCAAAGGTCACGCATTCAGCACTGAGGCTTCGGTGCAAGCTCTTCTCTAACAGTCCTCCGTCCCCCGAAGTCACTGACTTGCTTTCAGTTCCTGCCAGTATCAGCTCCTAAATATTAATCTATAAGGCAGCGAGAAGCCCTAGATTCCCAGGACAGCAGTTTTAAATGGATGCTCCCATGTTCCTGTAAGCTATGGTAGCTATCTCAGTATCTACGATGTAACTCGTGTCCCCCTTATTAGCGGTCTTGTTATTAGCCTTATTATTAGCAGTCATTGTCACCTTTTAAATGGTCTTGTTTAGACAGCACATTATAGGATCACCTCATAAGTATGCAGACATTTATCCTGTGCTTGTGGTTCAGGAAACAAGGAGACACACACCACCCACTACATCCTTCCCATTCTTCCCTGGCTCGTTCTGTTTGGTGCTTATACAAGGTTCATGAGTGCGTTTCCCCTCCACTGGTCTTGCTCCTGCTTCTGAGTTTGCTTATGTTTCCTGCCCACTTAAAATGTTCTCCTCCCCCAATTCCAGTTATGTAGCTCGTAGGTGCTTTCAGAACTGAGCTCCAGCCCCATTTCCGTGAAGCTTCCTCCGTCTACTTCAACCCACACTAATCTCTTCCTTCTCTTAAGTCCACGTGACATTGCTTTGCTAAAATGCGGTAAGGAGTGAAAGGCTCATCTTTGGTGGTGGACTTTCTCCCTCTTCCCCCGTGCATGCTGTCTGTAGTTTGCTCAGACGCCTGCATGTAGTACCTGGTTATGGTAATGATGACAGTTACGCAGTCTTCCAAAGTGGTGCCTCAAAAGAAATGAGAATATAATGCATAAACTATGTATGCATGCTTCCTTGGCAATATTGTTGTTCAATTCTAAGCTGCAGATAAAATATATAAACCCGCTATTTATGTTCTAAGTGATCTTTGATGTATTATTTCACCTCTATTGGTTTTGGTTTCCAGATTTAAAATATGATTATTAAAATCAACCTCAGCGATTCTCATTTCTGAAGGAGCATTACTCATATTTTGCTTTTTAATTCTATTTTTTTTTAAAAGTATTGTCTCCTAGGTGGATCTGCCACATCAGAATTGCTAGTGTGTAGAATGGGCACAGATATGTTTCAAAATCTAACGAGACATCTATACAGAAATTTTGTTCACCGTGATGGTAGACAGCCTCTGATCAAATTCATGAAGAGTGTCGGGAATGGAGAACTGGCCTGGGCTTTACATCTGGCAGAAAGTAGCAGTCATAGATTGAATTGTGGACTTGAAAA